AAGATTTATTGTGAAATTCAAGTGAAATTCAATTTAAGCATCTAGAGAGCACTTACCAGTAATAAACTTTAATGAGAGCTGCAGGCCAGAGCAGGAAGGAGGCTACAAAAGCCAGGATGGGGATCGCCAGCGTCCCTCCGGCAATGATGAACATGTTCACCACGTCCAAATCCATCCTGTTAAACAACACAGCAGTGAAAAGTCACATAAGTCTGCATTTTTGACACGACCTCTTGTCAGAAAGCCTTTAATATAGTAGAACAGATTATATCATCTAACCATGTCTGCAAGATATTTTTAAGCAAGAAAAACAGAAATGTGTTTGTGCATGTATATACAGCTGGGACCAGCAAATAAAAGTATATATTTTTGGTAGTTAATGCTCATTCAAATAGGTAGAGATGGATATATATATATATATATATATATATATATATATATATAAAACATAGGATATAAATGTAATATAATTATAATTTTAAATAATATATTACATAACATTAAATTTTAATAAATACATAATCTAGATTATTTGTGCTGAGTTATTTGCCCTCATTCATAGATCTTAATATTTCTCTAGAATGAATTAATCAATGTATATATACATTTAGAGCATTAAAACAGAAAGAAAGGACATATGTAAAACAATATTCAATATTTAGAACACGTGATACACTTTCATTTTTACTACAAGCATGAATTAATGACACTCAGATCTCTTGTTACATTGACACATTGTCGCAATTATATAATGTTAAATTGGTAACTTAATGTAACATTGTAACATCAGATCTGTCATTCTGTCATGTGATCAAAGATCTGAGCTTGAATACATAATGAAACGCGTTTGATCGCAAGATTCTATGCAAATGTTCTTTAAATAGATCTGTTATTAGTTAGCATACCTTTAAATGTCTGTAGAATGTATGAATGTATCGTGAAGAAGACCGATCAAAGCCGAGTCATGTCACCCTTTGATCCGCGGCGGAGCTGCACACCAGAAGCCCGCTCACCGTGAACAGGGAAGCTCGCTCGGTTTAAAGGGGAAGAGAGGCGAGAAATAATGTTCTGTCGACAGGAATTGTAAGCGAACATCTGTCAGGTGCAGCGTGGCGGCTCACACTGAAGCGCATTCACATTTAGAATGACTTGGCTATTGGACAGATTTGTAGAATTAAACATATAATTAAATAAATAAATAAATTATTAGTTTAACAGTTTTATGTCTCATATAAAAATTCTAATCGACCAGCAGGTCTTATCTAAGAAATGCAACGGCTGTGATTGGTCCATCATGACAAGCGATGAGAAATGTAACATGTATCACCTGACACGAACATATATAAAGGCAACATTCATAAGCGGCACAAAAGCAAAATGATTATGTCGTTATCTTTTACATTTTGCAAGGTAAATATTACATTCATTAAAAAAATAAATAAGTAAAATGCATTCCAAAATGTAATTTTTTTTATTAGAAATGGAATCTTTGAAAGAGTCTCTAATGCAAATTAACAACAAAAAGAATGACATACTGTTAGATTTCATGGAGGATTTCATTTTTTTTCTTGTATAGTTCCCCCGCTGTAGTCCTTGATTTTGTCCTAAGGAAGAAGGAAGATAATTTTAACTATTGTTTAGTTGTTTATATGTATGTGTTTTTATTATTATTACTTTATTTTATTTATTTATTTATTAAAAAAAAACAAAACAGTATCTCTGTGTCCGAAAATGCATACTTCCCTACTATATAGTATGCGAAAAACAGTATGTGAGGTGAGTAGTATGTCCAAATTCATAGTATTCGAAAAACAGTAGGTGAAAAGTACCCGGATGACCTACTTCTCCCTCCCGGATTCTGAAGTGTGCATTGGATGGACACTTTACTATCCCATGAGGCCACGGGAGAGGATTTATGAATGGCAGTGAAGTGACGCAACTGATGCAGGTAGGTCATGTGACAGTAACAACATGGATGTAGTATGTCCGAATATCATTCCCTGCGTCCCTATGTGCATACTATCCACCCTATCTGCCCTAAATAGTATTGAAAATGACTAATTCGAAGCATGGATAGCATGGATAGTGTGCACATTGGGACGCAGGCATTCATTCATACTACCCATATTCATACTATATAGAACATACTTTTTTAATGGTCGTGAAGTAAATTCAAATTCAAATGTAGTACCTACTCGGACAGTATGCGATTTCAGACACACTGGATGTGTTTCTGACTAAATTTTAATGGCTGCTGTCACTTTAAGGAAAGTACCATGTTATGTTACAATTCCTAACACATTCTAAATAAGTCCTAACACTTCCGAACTAATTCCTAACACAAGTCCTAACAATCCTAACATCCAATGGTCTAAGTCCTAACAACTCCTAACAGGTCCGAACGGGGCAAAACAGCCATTGGTCGAAACGTAGTCACGTGCGAAGCCACATAATTACAGTCATAAATAGAGCGGAAGCGCGCGGATGACTAGTTTATAAAGGTTAAGGCGAATTTGATATTTTTTTAAACACGGAACATATTTTTAGTCAGCTTTACGTTTTCGGATAACGTGGAGGCAAGTACAAACAATAAAACACATAACATAGCATTTGGGTTCAAACTCCTCTGCTTAAGTTGCGTGCGGGTATTTTTTCCCAAATGTATTCTTAAATCTGTTATTTAACATTTATATGGATATAAGATGCTATGTTTGGGCGAGATTGTGATATAAATCGAGGTGGCCTTTCATATTGCAGCAAGTATTATTGTAAGTATTATTATTAATAGTAGTATTGTTATTATAGTTCTTTAAATTTGTATTTATGTCTTATAAAAATTATAAAATGTCAGATTTGAGCTTTTGGAATAAAATATTTGTGGAAGCAAGTTTATATTATTATTATTAGGTAGTTATTTAAATTTGTATTTACATACATAATTTTTATTATATAAAGGTCAGATTTTAAAGTTTATTATTATTATTATTATTATGTAAATATTATTAGTAATATTGTTATTATAGTTCTTTAAATTTAAATGTGTGTGTGTAATTTTCATGTATATATTTCTATTCTTAATATTAGTAATTATGTATGCAGCTTATGTCAATTTTTTTGATTGATGACTTTGACCCGCCCCCTTAGGGATTAACCTTATGACCTTTTTTAATGACCGTGATTAACCTGTGACCTCAGCAATGAAATAAGAGAATGGTGCGATTGTCCTTTAACCCTTTGGGGTCGACTAATGCGGATATGCGTTTTGTGGCATCTTCTCCTGATAAGACCGAAAAGAACTTAAATTACACTTTCAGTTTTGATCTTACAGATAAGAGCAATACATCAATCGAATCTGTAAAGGGTCTACTTTTATTTT